TTGACTTGAACACAAGAGAAAGTTCTCTCCAGACTGCATATGTACAGCTTCTCAGTAGTCCCTTGTGAAACAAGCAGGAAAGGTCATAAAAGTCTAACAAATTATTATAGTTCCTTTTCTATTCCCATAGAAAGTTTGTGGTTTGTATTTTTAACAGGTGCGATGTATTCCTATACAACTCTATAAACCCTCTGCTTTCTGTGAGATGAATGTCTATATACACAATAAGCTGCCATAGCAATGTAAAAGTAGAACAGTAAATTAATAAAAAGAATATGCCACAGCTCTCACTGACTGAGATAGTTATGTTGAAAAAGGAAGAAAGTAAAGAGAAACAGCTGGGGAAACTAACCTAAATTATTTGCCACCAATTCAATAAACAGAGTTAGCAATTCTGATACCTGTCACAGCTCCTACAGCCTTCTTTTGGCAGGGGGGATGGAGAGGGAAGGACTTACTTTACTGGCTGTAAGAATTCTGCACCACAATCTAAGAACAAGCCATTATTTTGATGTCACAGATATAATACATATTTCCATTTCATGCCTCGTGACCCTTTCTGTCCCCTGTCTCTTCTGAAGTTCTAAGGGGAAGAGGGAAGAAAGGTGTGCATGTAAAAAGCAATTTGAGATATCTGTGGCAGCAAGTTTCTTTGTAGATAATTTTTTACTGATGTGCTTTTAACTGAATAACTATACATCATTTTGCATTAATTCCTGTAAATTAATCCGAATTTTTGGTCTTATCTTGGGATTCACACACTCACATTCATGCAACCATAATTAGAAAATGTCACTCGGAGACTGCAATATTTATCGTAATTTGACAACTGTCTAAAAAAATTAGAACAATTCTTGAAAGAAACTAAGATAAATACTGAATAGCTGCAAATTTCAAGGCAACACTTTGCTTTACTAGAGAATAAATGATATCACAAAATGGGAAGTAGCTCCACCTCCACAGAGGTGAGAAATGCATGGGTGGGGAACGCACCTTATATAAGAAATCTGCAGTTATATGGCAGGGAGCACATGGTAAACCAGTTAGTATGAAAGATAAAGGGCTGCATTAGCTTAATAATTGCAATAAATCCTCTACTTAAAGAAGTTGAAGCATGACCCAAAGCATCTCCCTCCCAAAAGTAGAAAGCAGTCTGTCTTGAAAAACTTCTAATTTGAGAAACTGAAAGGTTCAGCTAGCTGAATTTTTAAACACATTCCAGATATTTAAGAACAGGGCTCCCACCAGATGCTATTTATTCTCATAAATCACTGAAATGGTAAATAAAAGCCCATTTATTATCATTCTCTGTTGTGTAAGTCACATGACAGATCACAGATCTTTGCTTTCTAGAATGGACCTAAAATTCTAACTATTACACAGAATACCACTGCAATGCATAACTAAAAAAGTGATACAAGCCTCATTATTTTCAGTCAGTCCAAAAAGCACTGCAGATCTAAACTCACTTCAGTTAGTATCTCTCTTTCATCAAGGTAACAAAATTTAACTCTCATCTCCATAGAAAACATAATTAGTCATTGGGAGTTTAAATGGAAAAATCAATAAATGCTTTATTCTGCTCAAAATGTAGTTACAAACCCACACTTCCATTTCTATGAAAGATTTATATGAGCTTATTTGTACCATTCAGCCAAGAGAGACAAGAAAATCAAAGCCTGGGATATTGCATCCAGTCCTGGTAGATAGATGAAAATAGCTCCCTTTTTCCCCAGGGCAGCTTACCATACTGGTCCTTTTGGTAAGATTGAAGGGTGAATTAGTGGTAAGCTTTCTTTACAGAAGTGAATTCCACACACAGCTAGGAACCCTGCTCAGTTACCCCCTGAGCTCCTTGTTCTCCCAGTACCAATGGTTAAAGCTGATTGATGAAGACTTCAGACCAAGCATTGCATCTTCTTGGCCCTCTATTCAACAAGAAAGTGCATGATATGACAAGTTCAGGAAAGAGTATTTGCATATTTGCTTTACCTGTTACTGATTTGGCCAACAATGCCAAAGTGGTGCTATTGTTTTGTTTAAGAAAGTACTTGACTAAAATATAAAAGAAAGCATAAATATTTTTTTAATGTATGAAAATGGCAATTACATAGGTATGGTTATTAAAATAGAAATAAAACTAGCCATAACTTTTCAACTTTTTGTCACTCAAAAAACAGCAAAGTAATCTTATATTGATGCAGGTGAGGCAGGAATAAGAGTCAAAATGCCACAAAAATTCATAGACTTTAAATGAAATTCCGAATCCTTATTCCAAGTCAGAAATTCAAATGAAGAAAAGTGTTAGAAGTCAGGGAACTGAAAGCCTTGATGTGACTGAAAGTCTTTCAGATCATGCAAGTAAGTCCTATAACATACCAGAGATTTTTAAGCCACATTCTAGTCTGAAATCAGTGTAGGGTTTGGCTTGGTCAGTAGCGTGATACGATAGAGATTTTCACTATGCACACATTTTTAATTTTACCTGATTACTTTCTTACTTATGACATATAATCCAAAATGTAATGTTCTTAAAACCCACAAAAGATGGAAGCATATCTGAATTTAACAAGGAATGAAAAAAACTTATTCCTAATAGGAAATTGTTGGTTTTTTAATTCTCACCAGTTCCAAATTGTGAGAAAAAGTTGAAATGTATGGCTAAAAGTCTGTGAATTATTTTTCTTTTATTACTTTATGTGGTCACTATGAACATCCTTACACGCAAAATTTCACATTTCAATTTTTTTGTTTTGAAATTATGCTAAGTTAAGCCCAAAAAGAGATTCTTGGCACCTATAGGCCAAATAGAATACTTATGTTGTTCTGATGAAGGTATAATCAATATATTTAAAATGTTTTATTTTTTAGTCTTAAAAGGAATAGTAATAATTTATTTGGGGGGGGTCTACTTATACTGGTCCCTCTTTTTAGGATACTGGTCAGTGGAAATTAGTCTTCCAAACACTCAACGTCTAATCAAAACCAACGTTTTCACCCTCCTGCTCCACCCAGCAAACTTAGTTAAAACACTATTGCAGCATAATTTTATTGTTTGTCTGTTTGTTTGGGAGGGTTGTTTTGCTTTGATTCACTTTATTTTGATTCTGGGGGCAAAGGGTAAGAGGAGGAGATGAGGGAGGAGATGAGGCTTTCGAGTGATATTTTTTTCTCTTGGGTACAATCCGCATAAAATAAAAAATTTTTCTTAACGAGATTACTAATTATCCAATTCATGTGTGGAAGTGGCATTCAGTAAAGCAACTAGATTAAATTTATCTTGAAAGAAGGAAAGAAAGATTTTAACACAAAAGTTGTTATCCTTTCTATTGTTCTATTCCTACACTAAGCCTTTTGCTTCTGACAGCTTTGGAATATTCAGCTGGACTATAAATGCCCAAACACACAGTATCTGACATACAGAAATCTTCTTTGACTTTTTTTTTTTTTTTTTACATGAAGGGTGTTATGGGAATGTCTGAAATTTGATTATATGTCATGCAGTATAGATATGCCATTCTGGCAGAGGCCAAAATAGGAAGGACCTTCCTGATGGTTACATTAGGAAATCTTCCACTAGCTGCATAAAGGCTGTAGTTGTGTATATATACACATATATAGACATATGTACATATATATGTGTGTATATAGACATTGCTACAGTGTGTGCATGTCTATGTGCATGTGTGTGTGCATGTGTATATTATGCTTTTCTTTATCCTGTCAAGTAAAATTTGAAATGCTTGCTTTTTTCTCTTCAGATCTTGTGGATTATATTCAGTAATCCAACTGTAATCTAATTTTAGAAGGACAATGTGTAATATGGATGTCACAATTTAGGTTCTGTCTTTGTTTTTCATACCTATAGAAATTACCAGATATTTAAACCATAAGACACCTCTTCATTGTCATCAGGCAAATATATTTATCTGTTTAGATGCAGATATAAAATACTAACTCTGAGGGCCATATTATAAAAACCTTCATTAAAATTTTACCTTCTATTTCATTTTTCTCCATAAAAATTCTATTAAGTGTGATTTTTTTTTTAAGTGTAAGCATCACTTCAAAGTAAGAATAGGTAATATAAACAGAGCAGAATGGTAATTTCTGTCATCATCTCAACCATTAATTTGTCATTTATGGTTTTTGTAAGAATAATTCATCCTGCTCTACAGCCCCCTTTACTGTATCAGAAGTGGAAAAGGCTTAGCAAATTCCTTATGTCAAATAATTTATAATAGTTTTTGATTTCTCTGTGTTCTTCAGTAACTTTTTATTTTGCCAGTTCAGCTCACAAAAGTCATAAAAAGCACCAATGTGACACTTCTGCTGCTAAACATTCTTTCCTACAAGTATATACCCACCTAAAATATCTACATATTCACACTTTATAGAAGTTCTTAAGAAACAAAACAAATACAGTTGAGAGATAATTTTTCCTGCCATTTTTAAACTAAATCAAAGGCATTGAATTTTATTGTATTTTTCATTCATTGGTATAATTTCATTCCTCTAAGCAGCAACAAAATACCTGCAGAACAAAAAGGACTCTAACTTGACATAGATAACTATATGAGCAACTAATTAAATGAAACTCATACTTTGTAGTGAAATATTTAACTTCGTAAATTTAAAAATCAAATGAATGTTCCACTCTTCCTGGTGGCATTAACCTGACTTATGTCGTGAAAAAACACTCATTTTAACAATGATCAAAGGATCCAAAACCAACAGACTAAAGTGTTATCAATTAAGAGGTAAAATGTCTATTTTGTGCACAGAGATGAATTCTATCCTATCTTTTTACACTAGAATTGCAAATACAATTGATAAAAATACTGCATAAGAATTATGGTTCTTTTCATTATTTCCATGTAGAGACAAGTTTGAATATAATACAGCACATGAAAGTGACAGTGCATGACAGCGTATAAATCATATCTTTTCATTTATTACCATTTCTAAGGAATTAGTCCAACAGAATTCTATAGAAATCCTGAGCAAGGTGAAAAAAATAATTCTCAAATGTGTATAATGATAATAGTTGCCTGATTAAACTAAATCTCATCAGACCTGAGTCATAAAATGCTCCATTGAAAACACACTGGTACTTCATTATATTCTGAACAGCTTCACCTGTAGTCTGACACCTCTCATTGCTTTTGTCAGAATGTGATCATTGTTTCACAGTTTCCTAATCCTTGGAGTCTTAGGGTTGAATATCAAACATGTTTATCAAGACTAAAGATGTCAGGAAACAAAATCAAAGTAGAAGAAGCAGCACCACCTGCTGCTGATAAACAAATTATGTATAAGCTTTATTTTCTCCCAAATTACTGCAAAGCCACCCAGAATGCTAAACAAAGAGATTAGTAGCACTTGCTTTTCAGGACAGCCTTTCCATAAGGAATAACTGTCCTCTCTGTCTTCAGTGTTGGACCTCAGTTGGTATCCTGTCTAAAACTGGGGTTTCCATGATGCAAAGCATGAATGTGGATACATGAGTTTCTGATTTCACTACTGAATAATCCTACTATTAACATTTCAAATCATTATAACCAAACAGTGACAAGTGTTAAGTGTTCATTTAGTAGAAACCATTTAAATATCTATTAAAGTTCTAACTGGATTTATTCTTTCTTTTTTATTTTCTTGTGCTTACTCATAATACAATGTCACTACTTGATGACAAATAATATTTCATACTGTGTATGTAACATCATTGTGTTGCAGAATCCCCCAAATACCTCAACAATGTCTTTGTTGCGCTATTCCCCCCATCTAGCACTTATAAGCTTTTCTAGTAACAACCAATAAATCAAAAAATGGAGCTCTTGATCTGTACAAATATTAAAAAAAAAATCAAAAAGTTTTGCTTGTTTGCAGTTCATGTAATGCCATCTTGACCATTCTCTTCCCCTCTCTCTATGAGCTTTCTAGAACAGTAAACTATGCTCCATAAATAATAGTGTATTCATGCTTTTAAAGGCTTTTATATGCATTTATGGTAGGTAAAGGTTGGAAGAGGTAGTTGACTGATTTTCACTTTTATCTACTTTGATTTCAGTAAAGGGCTTTGTCACTGTATACATAAAGGCTAATGCACCCTTTGGTTTGTAGAATGTACTGAAATGTTTGCAACCCTCTTGGTATCAGGTCCAAAATGTGAAGCATTTCTGTTAAGAGGGTATCTTTCTAATGTATTTGTATGTATAGTTTACACCTCTGTGAGGTCTAATAAAGGATTATGGTTAATAAAAAATGTGTTGAAAATTCATCATCCATGCAGATTTTGCAGCAATTTGCATTCTTCCTTTCTGTTCCCTGGCATATACATTTCAATTTTCTCAGAATACATCAAAATCAGGACATACCTTAGCAGGGTGATCAGGCTCCATTCATCCTAAAATAGAACTGGCATGGAAAGTGGCTCAAGAGCCTCGATGAAAGGAAGTGTCAGCAGATGAAATTATGGAACCTATAGATAAATTGACAGAAATGAATGACCAGGAACTGACCATGTTCCCGCACAGAGGAACATGACTCAACTCTGGTTTACAGAGGCCTCTCAAAAACTCCTCACTACAACAGAACTAAGTGGTAGTAGCCAGTATCTGGCTTGGGTCTCTATCACTTCTGTTCTCAATAACAAAATATATGGGGAAGTGAATAAATACTATATGAAAAATATGGTATCTTGCAGGAAAAGGAAGATGGTTGTTGTGAGGTAAGCTTCAGAAAACTATTGGTAATCCTTTTTTAAAAAAAGGACACAATCACAGAAAAACAGGGTGATCTGGTATTTCCTAAATGTTTGAAAAATAAGGTCCTTCATCCAAAGTTCTGTAAACACTAAACTGTCATGGAAAGAGAGGCAAGTTCTTCATGCCTGCACACTGCTGATTAAAAAGCAGAAGAGAGACATGAGCAGGAATTCCCAGTTTATAGTGGAGTGGCACCGTATGTGAAATCTTGATGCAATCTGTTCCAGCACCCTCGGAGTTCAGCCTTTCCCTAAACGAGCAGGAGAAGGGGTGGACAGTAAGAGGACAGTTTATAGATGATATTAAGGCAATCAGACTGGTTAGGCATGGTGGTGGTAAATCTGTGCAGACCATTCCCAGTACTCAAGTCATCCTTCAATGTGCATGTCCACAGCTCATGGCCCTCTCAGATGGGTGCAGCATTTGCCTTTTTCAGCCACTAAACTCACACACTTCCTTAATCTTTCTAATATGATTGAGAGCAGCTTCACAACACCACAGTGCAGCTCCCTTACCATCCTCCTATGTATCCCATGTCGTCCCAAACACTTGTGTATCTCCATTTGGCTGAAGCGCTTCATAATTCCATCTACTTTAGTTAACTCCAATGCTGGAAGGCCTGAGGAGAGCCTTACCATGGCAAAAACAAACAAAAAAATGCATCTGGCCCAAGTCCCAAAATTGTGAATCTGTGGAGGGTAGGAGTTTCACTGCATGTTGTCTTGTTCTAGCATGTTTCCCTAGATATCAATTTAGGCTAAAGAGCAAGACAGTTTCCTGGATTGGTTACCCCATTTTATCTTTACTCTGACTCCTTGTGTTTCTATCTTGCTGCCTGTCGGAATCTGTGGGTATGGATGATTCTGAGATTGTAGAAAGTCTCTGTCTTTCTGCCCCGTTGCCAAAGAAGAAGCCATAATTAATCTGTGCTGTTTTCAAGGTTGTTTATTCTTGCTTATCTATAACATGTTCTGCTGCCCTGCCGCAGCTCTGTCCTGCAGGGCAGCGTGTGGGGCTCTGCCCTCAATGGGATGGTACAAACATTATACACCAGAAACTACCTGTGCTATATTTACAATAATGTGCCAATATCTATCATCTACGTTGAACAGTGTGTCCCCAGCCTAAACCAATAGAAAAATGCCAACACTACAGTGAAACATGGAGGGCATGAAGAAGGAGGAAAAGGACAAGACACACCCAATTTCCTCCATCTTGTCCCCTCTGAACCCCTAATCTAGAAGCCTAAAATTTTACTTTTGCACCCGTATCACACTTAATTATTACTCATATGAAACATTTAGAGCTTGTAATTCATCCTGTAAGATTGAAAACTCCTCTCCATGGACAGAGATCACAGACAGTGTCTCTCGGGGCTCTGTACAGGGGGGTTCCCAACCCTCTCCCAGGGTCCCAGACCTGCCAGGGCAGGGGGTCAGAGGGAAGCCCTGGATTCCCACAGCTGCCATAGTAGAAATTCTGGATTCTAAAAGCACAATCTCTAAGTGCACAAACCCTGAAGTAATACCCTTCATACAAAATTCTCTGTATTTAAACATTTACAGGCAATAATATTTAAATCCATGCTGTTTTATCCTAATACTTGAGCAATTTAGGGAGATTTTGATTTTAAAATAATTACTCAGCAATATTCAACAATTTTCATTCTTATGACAAGGTTCAGTCAACAGAGATCACAAATGGAGGGTTTGGTAATGCAGCCAAGGAAAAGTGTAAAAATCCATTATTTTAATCATAGTTAATCACAATCTTAATCACAGTTTTTTAAAGTTGTTAATCATATGTATTGCATTACCACAGATTTTTAATCTTACATGAACAGCTTGTTAATAAATACAACTGGATGGTAATCTATGCTAACACAAGCAAAATAAGAACACAGATTGAAGAAATGTACAAGAAATTACTAACAGTTCAGAAAAAAAAAAGCTTCTGTGTTTGGCCTCTTTCTTCAGTTGTGTGCTTCCTCAGACACAGAAAATTCAATTTATAGCAATTTCAATCTAAGATTTGCTGCACATTAACCAAACCTGGATATTGACTTACTTAGAAATCCTCTTATTTATGGCCTTAACTTAAAACAGGTTTTGCATCACAACTAAAGAAAAAAAAATCAGTTTAGAAAACCATTGCAACATGAAGGCCAGCAGGACTTGTGGAAGCTTAGTGAAAACTCGGACTATCAACAATAGTCGTTAATAATGTCATGGAAGACATTCTTATTTTATTAGTGCAAAGTTAATACTGAATACAGAGAACTACACTGATTTTTTTTATATATACATGGACCACTTAATTAAGCTACCTGTGGTTTTGTCTTATATTTGCATACAGATTTACTTGATTTAAAATACTCTTTATTCTAGTATTATTGCCTAAATGTTGGCTCTTACAACTTTTATCTAAAAAGTGTGTACAATAGATATAACCATTAAATATATGAAGGGGATTAGTGGTGGTTTTAAGCCAATGTTTCATCTCTGTGAAAAGGAGTTACCTCTGAGAAGGTTTTTTCCAGCTGAGAGGGTGACAGAGCTATTAAGATTCCCCACATGTTGCTCGATGGATGCATCAGCTGTACACAGATTTTCTGCCGGCTTTCTGCAAAGAAGTCATTCGTCATCTCTGTATTTTGACAACCAAAACACAGAGAAGAAATTGAACAGAACAGGAAGAGAAGTGTTAGTCAAACTGAGATAAAACAAAGATTAAAGCGGGATTTTCAGATTACCACTGGGCTGGTTTTATTTGCTTGGGGAGTGCTTGGACTTAATCTTTAATCAAACAACCATTTCAATTAAAATGCACTGTCTTTGTTTTAGACTCCAAGCTCTCCAGGACTTACTTCTCAGCATGTGCTCTCTCCATTAAGTAATGTTTTCACTCTTTTTGTTTGCCTTTTCCTTCTGTTCCATATACCATCTATTCTTGCTACATGGTGACCTGATGCAATAGGAAAAGTGGCAAATGTCATTCCAGCCCTTACAACAAAAAAAAGCTGGTAAAGTCTACTGATTTGGGCATGTTGAGAGATAAGGGCTTGAATGCCATCAGGCTAAATATGGACTGAAATCAGATCTCCCATTTATTCCGCACATACCTCAATTAGCTTAAAATTTGCAGAGGACGAGGCAAAGCCATAATGCCAGAATTTTTGGCATGCCCTTTAAGCATGCCCTCAGCGTCTCACAGAACGCAACATAACTATAATCACTTGAAGATATTTTGGGTTCAAAAGCAGATAGAGCAGGGAAAACCAGTTGTTTCCACCACTAACAGACCACAGAGAAGCTGCCATTTTTTTTTTTCGTTTTTGTCTAGGTTTTAGTATTTCAGATATGTTTTTCCTTAATTATTTAAGTTTCTGTCATATCTACAATTTTTATCCTAAATAAAATTACAGAGGATCAGTCTCACCTGTTTTTGAATTCATATGGTTTGTATTAAAACTACTTGCCTGCAGAACCCCCACCAGAATTGGCATTCATACTGTGCAAGGGGGAGAGTTTTCTTCATTTCACATTCTTTAAACCATTACTTTCCAAATAATCCTTTATATCATTGCCTTTCCTGCAAATCTTCATCTGGATATTGTTATCATTGTTGGTACTTCCCAGCTTCAAATATTCTTTTGTACACATAAATTCTAGAGCCAAGTCAGTCAGTAAATTTCTTGGTAATTTAACATGCTGAAAACAATCCTGTACTGCTTTAAGCACATACTGTTGTTGTTTAGTAATCAATAAATAAGCAATTTACTTCAGACAAAACACTTCAAGTAGCCTTTTATGCAAATAAATCTTACTATCAAACATTTCCTGCTGCTCATGTTTTGTTTAAAGAGCATGGATCTTTTTTTACCCATCTTTTAAACTTCATTCAAATATTACATATTCTCTGCCATGCCAGCCAGAACCACTGCACCAGTTATTATTTTAAAACATGCCTTCCTATACTTAACCTCACTTTTTGCTCTACCTCCATGGATCTCACCATCCATACTGTTTCAAATCTCAAAATCAAGATAATTTAAGGCTGAACTTGAAGCATGCTAACTGCATCCAAGGCCTTCAATGAGCCAAGGACTTTCACCAGCACCTTACAAACTTAGATCTCCCGTTCAAATATGGACACTTCTTCTGCCCTCAGATATAGCCACTGACATCTAGGGTCTTCTTTTGAAACTTTCTAAGTTTACAGCTTGTGTTTTTATATCTTGTAGAATGCCAGTGGCCAGCAAGTCTGGCTCTGAATGCTTCTGTAATTTTGAGGATAAAGTCAACCTTATTCTGAGACAGACTGGAACTTTCCTGGGCACTAAATAAAGAAAATATCTGGTTTGAATGATTTCTCTTTTAGTCTTTCTGCATTTCTATTTCCTTTTTAAAAGGAAACAGACTGGTTCTTTAAACTTATTCTAAGCTCCTGTGCAACAACCAAGTTACCAGGATGAAATGTTATCCAAGTCTTGGGCCAAGGCTCAGTAAGTGATTTTAATCAGTACATAAATATATACCATAAGTAGGTCCATTTAAAAAAAAAAATCTTTATCAATAATGAAAGGGATATTGATACAATTATTAAAATTCTTACCCAGAAATATTTTTCCCTGTAAATTTATTAATATAGACATATTATATTTTTCCTTTATGAACTCATTATATGCCCCTTGCTGCTTCAACAGAAGGCTTTGCAATGAGTTTTATTCTATTTTGATTTCTCTCTTCTTTTTTCTTCCTTCACTGACATTCTTCAACAACATTTAATATGTGGTAAATTTAAACTGTATTTCATTTAAGGATTTTAAATTACTATATGCCTTTCAGATAAATTACAACTTATAAACTTCAGGCTTCCTATATTTCACATAGCTCAAACTTCTTCCCTTGCCAGAGTAAAACTCCCTTGACCAGATTTTGCTTGGCTAGTTTCCATTTATGCTGTCTTACTTTTCTCCTTTCCTTTACTTTCTTCTATTCCTTTGTCCAGTGCAACAAAAAAAAAACAAAAAACAAAACAAAAAAACCCCAAACAAACAAACAAACAAAACCACCCCAAACCCAAATCAACTTTTTTTTTTTTTCTTTGATTTTTGGAAGAGCATTCTCAAAGAGTAAGGTCATTCACTGACTCTTAGCAACACAAAGATTTTTAATTTCCTTACACCTTCTGTTTTCTTTATGCAAGTGGATCTTCACTTGTCAAGTAACGTTGACTGAGGAGCTGCCAGCACCATTTGATGAAGTCAGCTTCCTAGAAAGTGTTTATATATAATCACACTAAGCTAATACAATATAGAATCATTCAATATTCTGAATTGGAAGGGTGATCGAAGTCCAGCTCCTGGCCCTGCACAGGACAGCACCAAGAGTCACATCATGTGCCTGACAGCCTTGATCAAATGCTTCGTGAACTCCAATGACCGCTCCCCTGGGGAGCCTGTTCCAGTGTCCCACCACCCTCTGGGTGATAAACTTTTCCTGATATCCAGCCTAAACCTCCTCTGGCAAAACTTCATGGAGGTCCCTCAGGCCCTGTCACCGGGCCCCTCCTCTTCCCCTCATGAGGAAGCTGTAGACTGTAAGAAAAGAACATTCTGTAAATGTGGGATTGAATTTTCATCTGAAAGTAGTTTTCCAGTACCTTGAGTAACAATTGCTTCAGAAAATGACAATTATATATCCTCTTCTAAAACTATCATTGCTGGCATTATCTTTATCATTCATCAGTACTGGAAGCACTTTCCTTTTTACTCGCTGCTCCTTTTTCAACTGTTGTGTTCTGTGCCAACAAGTTTCTTCATATGAAAAGAATCAGCACTGAACATTCTTTCCCATCCCTCACCTTCTAATAACTATCCATCCAGAGAATCTTTCAGAAAATATATTTCACACTCTCTGCCTTCTTGTGTGAGAGTAAACCTAGGCCATGAGCATGAAACTTTGTCTCCTCCTTGTAGTGCTTTCTATTTCTTCAAGCTTCCCAACAGCAAATAAACACAGTAAATTATTTACTTAAAGCTGAAAATTTCCAAAGACTGTTTTAAAAACCTCCTTCATTATGTCTCTTATATTCCCAAATGTGATAAATTAATCACACTGCTTTTATTTTGTTATGGATTGGACAGAATAACTTCTCAATATCACTCAGCACAATAAAAATACAGGTAAATTGTCCTTGGGACCTTGATTAAAAAAATCAGAATTAATCCATGACAACACGGTGCTTTTCCAGTATCTTGTGATTTCTGCCTGACTTGTAATCTCTGTTTCTTAAACTCTCTCAAGCTTTAGGAAAAGCAAGAATCAGTAGATGCATGCAGCACATGCTTGTGCAGATGAGAGATTCTCCAGGTGCACAAAAAGCTGACTTAATGTGCAACATATAATTTGAAAATGATGATCAATCTATCAATGCAAACAGTGGAACAAACAAATGCAACTTGATGTGGGTGTCTCTGCCGTTTAAAAAAATTAAATATTTGGCTAAAAAGAATCCATGGTAATTTATAATAATACAGTGGATTCTTTCCTATCCAGCTTGCCCTCTTACCCAGAAATGCCTATTATTTTCCCTATTTCAGTATGTCTGTACAATTAAAGATATGCTCAGGAAGAGAATAAATCTGCAAAATTTTGATCTAAAAAGTTTCAGGAAACTGAAAGGCCAAATGCAAAAATGTAAAAGCTAAACCACAACAGTAAATATATAATAATCTCTGACAAAAGCCCCTCTAAGACTATCAGTTTAGAAACGTGTCACATGGTACCCGGGTTTACTGAAGCCTGAACACATTATCAAGGTGATATGCCATACAATTTGAACATAACAAAATAGTTGACAGTAACTAGTACAGATAATTATGTTATGAGATCATGGAGGAATAATTCTTTCTACTTCTGGAACATATCCCAATGTTTTTCAGAAGAAAATGAAGCAGAATTATCTTCTTTTTGCATCAAACGGAAGGAAAATAATGAATTCTAGCGAATTTGCTAAAAATCAGATAATTCACAACAAAACCAAGAGCAGCACTCAAGAATTTCAACACTGGTTTTATATTCACTGTCAAAACCAAATACTTTGCTGCAGCCATTCTATTATTCTGGAGTTGGAAAACAGAGCATCAAGTGTAGAACAGACCTGATGAGAAAGGTACTGACACCAAGAGGAAGTGCTGTCAAGGTGTTTGACATTTATAAAATGTCCTTACCCAGTTAAAAGAGATTATCTGTCTTTATACATCATGGGACAATGCCAATTCACTCATTTAAATCTGTTGCTTATGTCTTTAAGTTTGCCTTTAATATTTGCCTTGCTAATCACTGTTTTAAATACTTTATCTGCTGAAGAAATAAATCTGCATGCTAAAACACACACATAAAGTCAACCCAGGCTTTTCAGAGTAACTTAAAAAAAAAATTAAGCTATTGTATTCATTTGAACATAGTTTTAGAGAAACATATCAGATGTGTGTGTATATATATGGAATATATTTATCTCATAACATCCTACAAGTATGAAAGTCTCAGCCATTGGAATCTACAAGACTGCAAATTCAGAAGGTGAAGGATAGTAAGCTGCTAACCTAACATCAGCCTAGAAATCATAATGAAACCACTTAGTGCCATCCTCAGATATCAGGGTCCTTCTGAAGAGGCCTGTAAATTAAAACAAATGCAGTTTTCTACAACCATTGCCAACACTTACCATGCACTAGTTTCAACTGCAATCTGAACTATATACCTATTAATTTTTATTATTCCTATGTCAAACAGTGTCTTATTGTTCTCCTGAAAAACATAGATAGAAATTCAGCTACCAAGAGAAATGGTAAGGGGATTTTGTCTCTCTCTAATAATCACTTGAGAAATCTATGTCTAGATGGGATCAAAACAGGAACTTAAATCATGAAAGCAATCAAGTGATATTGAATTAGGAGAAATCAGCAGTGGCTACATATTTCTCAACCCTTTGTCAGTAGACTATGGGACTATAGACTTTGTCAGAGACTACGCTGTCAAAACGGCAAAAACTTCAAAAGAGACAAAAAGCCTGAGATAGTTAAAAAAATAAACCAATACTTTTTAAATTGCTAACAGAGACCCCTCTTCTGACCACCACCTGGCCAATAAGATTTAGGAATCTTGTATTATAAGGGAAGCAAGATCTTCAGACAAGTAATCTGTAGCAAGTACACTCTAATTTACCAGTTGATTCAAGTTTTCAGCTTCAATTGAAAAAGAGAATGCTTAAATAAAATCATACAGTGAATGCAATTCC